TTAAGATTACAAACTGATTTTCAGATTAAATCCACCATTATCTCTTTAAAAATTCATCTACTGGTCTTGGTACCACTCCAGTCTGTGGTCATCATGATCCACATTCAGTGAAAGGCTTCAGCAAAAGAATAAAAAAATCCTCTTATTTTTGTCCAATTCAAAGTAAATCTTAAACCTCTTTTCAATAGATTTTTCTATGCTATTGCCATTTCATGTTTCCCTTGGTAATATTCAGGCTGTTTTGAAGTCTGCTTACCTCTTGTGAGCTGCTGTACAGCTCAGTGCATGCTACAGGACCTGCCCAAACAGAGAGATAAATAGACAATGTCCCCTCTGCCGAGTTGCTGTTGCCACAGCTACACTCCTACCACTATATGAAATACCCAAACTACTTTGTGAGCTATGTTTAAGTAGTGACTTTGGCATTAGCCAGCATTTCAAAGTTGAAACATATTGGGTTGTGCAGCAAGTACTTGTTTTCCGTGCCTCTTAGGACATTTCAGAACCTCCAATGATGTGAACACAAGATACCCTTTGCTGAAGAAGCTAAGCCTGAACCACTGACTGTTAAGCTAAAGCTGAGCCTGTATGACTGACCTCAACACTGCTGATAGAAACATTTGTTCATGTCCCACTAGCATGATTTGCAGCAGCCCGTTTTCTCCTTCGTGCAACCTTGCCTGTCTTACAGCATGTTCTTCTGGCCTCTCTGGGGATGACAGCTCTCAAGGAGGGAAACAAGTTTTGTAGTGCTCTGCAGTCACAAGACTTGTCTTTTACTTAGTGATATTTGCTTTTTCAGGTCTTTCAGAAGCATTTTAGCAATCTCAACCATAGAATCATAGAATTGTTCAGGTTGGAAGGGGCTTTAAAGGTCATCTAGTTCTAACCCCCCTGCTATGAGCAAGGACCCCTACCACTAGACCAGGTTGTACAAAACCTCATCCAACCTGGCCTTAAAAACCTCCAGGGATAGGGCAACAACCTCCCTGGGCAACCTATTCCAGTACCTCACCACTTTTATAGTGAATAATTTCTTCCTAATATCTAATGTAAATCTCCCCTCTTTCAGTCTCAAACCAGAGCTGACTGATACCTGCACTTCTCCTACATGAAACGTTATCCAGTTAGCCTGCAGAATTCAAAAGCACAGCTAAAATGCATGTATCACATCACCAGATATTTTTCTTATTTTGTTTCAGACTTCATCTTGTTCCAGTTCCAAAAAACAGATAAAAAACCACGCTACTTTTCACCCCATTTCTTGAGCAGCACCCCCATCTCACACATTATATAGCATTGAAGTTTTCAGCAGTAGGATGTTTTGTTCTAAAGCAGTAAGTGGCAAACATTATCCAGCAATAAATAAGTAATGGACTGTTACCTGTGTATCATTATCCTGATCCTGGAGTTTTCACTAAGGAAGTAAGGATGGGCAACAAAGGATTTGATTGCAGAAGGTAAGCTTTACATGCTGTTTGAGTCACCTTCAATTTCCATACCAGAGTAATGGCTATATAGATACTATTACAGATATATTTTTGGCACTGGTCCTGAATCATCAGCAAGGATTGTGGGTTTGCTATTAAAAGAATAAATGTTTCTTTAGAATCAAAACAGATTAAAGAAAGTGAAAATTACCAGACCTCCAAGCCAGCAGGTCTTTCCCAGGATACCAAGAGCTAGAAAAAAACAGAGGTCATGGATCATGTTCTGTCACTTCACTCTATTGATATTTTTCATGTGTCAGGCAGACATCCAAAATTCAATACTTTTCCATAAAACAAAAAACACGGAAACAAAGTGGCAACAATAATGTACCCATTATTGGTCGTTCCCACACCTACCATCTTGTCACTGCAGCTTAGAATCTGATGTGCACCTTTTCTTCTACTTTTTGGCTCCCTAAAGTCATTAAGTATCTTTAAAAAGTTGCCTAACTTGGTAGTACTGTGTCTTGAAAGACAAGGAATAATTTAAGATGGTAGTTCTTCTAGATATGATCTAGGCAGGATCCAGGTACTCTCTAAACTGGATCCATCAGATTTTTGATGTGCTGGTAGTCCACTTAAAGCAAGTTTATTCTTTTTGTATATACAAGAAACACTTTTATAAACCCAGAGATAATTTCCACCCAAAGGAAGTCCATTGTGTAAGTCCATTCTGCTGTCAGATGGTGAACAATTTTTGTCTGTCAAAATACACCTTTTCCTCTTGAAATACATTGTTCTTTCACATATTTTGATGCAGAATATGCTGCTTCACTTGAGATCCTGATAATAGCAAGCTTCTGTGTATGGATAGCTTCACCAAAACTAGCAATCTTTGAGGTGACTGAAGGGAACAAAGATCACATCTTAGCAATGGTTTTTTATGCTCCAGTTTCTTCTGCCTATGCAGTGAAAGAGATGGGTCACTGGCTGGGATCAGAAGGAGGCCAGGTCATCATCACCCCCTTCTCCCATGCAAACATGTCATGTGTAAGAAAAGTTGCTCTTCCATCCCAACTCATCTGAAAGCAATCATGTACTTTCTCATCAGGAAGTCAATTTTCACTCATTGTCTTAGGAAAACTTCACATTTTTCAAGAGAGCAGCATTTTTTAATATTTTTTTTTCACCTGCAAAAATAACAAAGGCTTTTTAAATGCTGTGTCTCAGACATACAACTCTCAAAGAGAAACAGCCTCAGAACCTGGTGGTTTCTGCTCCAGAGCTGTGGAGTCAGTGTGCTTGCTTCTGAGAGGCCACTGTCTTCTCACATCTATCAGCAGGACTTCATGTGTAGTCACTTCCTGGTCCCATTCCATTAAAATAACGACCTGAGTTTTTTTCTAAGAGGCAAAACAGTGTTCTTCAGAATTCTTAGAACAAGATCAAGAAGAAAATAGATGTTTAGTTATAGATTGGAGAAGGGATTACTAAGTATCCTGGACAGTAAGTTCTTTATCTGCCAGTGCAAGCGATGTGATTACATCCTTCATATTTAGGTGTGCATCTCCCTGCTTCCTTGATTTAACCACTTAAGTACTAGATGGATCTATTTCACTCTCCATCTTCAGAAACATTACAATATTAAATACATCTTTTCGTGCTTATTAAGGTGATAAAATAAGTAAAGTTTTCAGCATTTTAACAGGTCAAAAATTCTGTACTCCAGTAGTACTAGTCCTTTCCCTTTTGAGGTCTTCATTTGAATGTCCAATATATTAGATGCCTATGTTCAAAATATCAGTATTAAATAAAAGCATTGTCCATTTATCCCGCTATTCTCAAATTTTCTCAGTCATGTTTTCTTTCATGTGGAACTTAATGAGTATTTTTTGAGTGTTTTGGGTTTAGCCACAATTACAAATGCATAACTAAGATTAAATTAACTTGTTTAGAAAGAAGATACAGGAAGAAAAATGAGAAAGCTATTTTAGTGTAAATAAAGTCAAGGAGTGGTAACAAGTAAATTAGAAAATGCAGATTTTGTGTCACTTCTACCCTCAAGAGTTTGCCAGTATGATCCAAAGTCACCAGATTGTGATGGCTCTTTTTTTAGTAAACATCTTGGCAACAAACAGGAAAATATATTGGTATAATTTAAGACAATAGTTTACATTAAGCTTCTACAGCTTTTCTTACATCTTTAATAAATGACTAAGCATTGCAGCAATGTTATTAGCATAATAATTGCTATTGATACGATTAGCATAATGGTTTTAACACATTTGATTATTTTTAAGAAACCATTCTCTGAAACTAGCAATATTAGTATGTTTTTGTTTATAAACTAAATCAAGTAAAAATATAAAATATTTGGGATTTTGAAATTTTTACTACTTTAACTGCATTTGCAATTAAATTTTTAGATGGAAGTTAGGTAGAAAGTCTGTAGTATTCAGAGTTTGTTTTTCATCATCCATCCCACATGGTGCTGTCTTTCACACAGCCACCAATAGGACCTTATTTTACTCCTTCTTTGCAAGGTGATGAGAGGTGGGACAAGCCACTCCTATTAGACAGTAAGGCCAAAGTTTCTTTATGTCCTTTTGCATATCCTGATTTGGTGGCCATTTTATCCTGGCTTATGATCAGTGCTATTGCCATTGTCTCCTTTATTCCCAGTATCCCTAGAAATGCTTTTGAACAACATTTGTAAGTGTTTTTGCTACTGGGAAAGA